AGTAGAAACAATAAGCTACTAGGAACAAGTGCATCGCTACTAGTAACGAGGGCCTTACTACTAGTAACAAGAAGCTAGTAGAAACAATATAGAATTAAGTGTAATTAGAATAAAATATTGCTAGCTGACGACCTGGAGCCCATCGCCCCATCCAAGCCCGCCCACCTCGGCGGCACGTTCTCGCCCATCCGGGGCGGTCCTGTTGTCGACGAAGGGTCCGTATCCCGGTGGGACGTAAGTGGTCTGTTCATTGGGACAACATATACTCTTACAGCAGTTGCAGCGACTGGAACACCACATTCTTTCAGTGGCACGACGTCCGATACAAAGGAGACACAAGCGACACATGCCACAAATGACCTCCCGGACAATTTGTCCTACAATCCTGCCAACAACTGAGTTTCAAAACGAACCACTTAAAGACCCACGGCTGTGAGACTACCTTTCATCCTCGCGGCGGGCTGACACTACTTTCTGACAAGAGGGGCCCCTCGTAGGTGTCTTACATCGGACCCCTCTATTAACTTGTCCAGCTGGGTGATGTATATATATATATATGTATATTTTAATATATAGTATATAGGATATATATATGTAACTATATTGTAATTTTAGTATAACTTGTGTTTGTATATATTAATATGAGATTATATGAGTACATGTCCGAGGCGTTCGACATCCACCAAGGTTCTTTTCCTGATCTAAACACCCAAAGCATCAGACCCACAAAGCGATCCATGGCCGCCCACGGATGGCCCGTTGCGAACCATCGCGCCTACGCTCGGCAGCGTTCTGGATCGCCCCTAAGGTTTGGTCGAAACTGTGGAGAGCACGAAGGTTTGGAGGTTTCTCCGAAGAACATGGTTTGCTTTTCGTTTTTTTTTCATGCGTCGGACTCGGTTTTTCATGGAGAAGGCTGACAAAAACATTCTGACGACGCGGCCAGTGAACGAGGGTTGAGAGAGACACGCAGCGGGGTTAGTTCAAAGACGAAGCTCGCTTGTTCACAGGAACATCAGCCTTCCAAGCGAGGAGGGAATTGCCAGTCTTCCGGATGGCGAGGATGTTTTTTTCATAAACAGTGACTTGACCTCCACAGCACTGAGCTTCAGGGTCATCCTGTTGCTGCTCCACGTGTTGGTGCTCAAACGCCGTTCAATCCATTCCATCCCCCAAAAAAAACGGATAAACCATGATAAATATCACTTATGGATGCCAAACCGAATCTCTATCTATCCACTCATCCGTGGCTGACCCCCCACAAAGAGGCAGTCCCTGAAATTGCCAAGCTCCGCGGTTTCAGTAAGAGAACAGAAGGCTGAAGTGTCACCCCAAAAATGGTCGGTACTGGTGAATGATACACCCAACCCTAAACAGAATAATACCCTTATATACCCTTATAGGAAAAGGTTTTAAGGAACCCAATAGCGATGGCCTCCATATGATGCTACGACGCCTCCTCGACCAGCAGCGACGGGGTCCGCCGGCGCCCAAGGCAGTTTCCGTCGCTTGAACGACATGGCTTTCAACACAGGCGCAAAGGGGCTCAGGGAGGATTTGATCGAAGGGTTGATGATGTCTTGGGTGAAGTACATAGACATAGCTCCTTTTCGAAGGGCTGGGGGGAGGATCTCATCCTGGTGAGCCTTGAGATCCGGAACCCAGTTACACTCCGCCCACCATCGTGGTTTACTCAGCACGCACGAGCGATGGCTCCTTGGAAGGACTGCATCCGGAGCTGCCCCACATGAGGATCAGGGGTGGGATCATCCATTGACTATCCCTGGCATGAGAGGGCTTAGGCTTAAACCAGAGCTCCACCTACAGCCAAGACCTCAAAAAGGACCATGTCTACTGGTTTACTGACATGGTTGTTGTGGTTCACTTGGAATTGTCTAGAGGATGTCCTAAATCTTTTGTAACCAGCGAATGTCATCTCCTGCATCCACTGTTAAAGTGTCATGGCAAGAAGCTACTAGGGGCTCCTGGCATCGCTACTAGGAGCAAGGACGCTACTAGGGGCTCCTGGCCATACTACCAGGAGCAAGAAGCTACTAGTAGCAAAGGGCATCGCTACTAGTAGCATGGTTGTGGTTCTCTTCATCCTTTCATCTTTCGCTCAGCTTTCCCGAGCGAACAGCTGCCCATGAATTTGAGCAGCGAGGCACCGGCGAGGCATGGCCAGGCATGGCGATGACCCGCCAGGATCCATCAACATGGATCCTACATGGATCCATAATTTCATGTCCACCCTTTGCATGGAGGTGTCTTCCTCTCGAAACCAAACACTCTGATACTTGGGGTACTACTTGGGGTATATACCGCTATGGAATGTCTTCGCCCGACTTGGATCTCGCCCCCCTGGCATCGTGTGGTTCTTCGCCCACCGATCGGTGCGGTCGAAGCGATCTCTCCATCTCCGTGGCCACACATCGCTACGAACGGAGCAAGGACGCTACGAACGGGGCTCCTGGCCATACTACGAACGGAGCAAGAAGCTACTAGTAGCAAAGGGCTTGTCTTGGCCCCAACAGATGTTCTGTGCGGGTAAAAAACACCAGTGTAGCCGGATAACCAGGCGTAACACACCGAACCAGCAGCAGTCACATCTGCTTCACACCCTCTGCTTCACACCACCCTCCAACTCTTCCCCACGCAGGAGCCCAGCGCACCCAAGGGTTCTCCGCGAGCCAAGGGTTCTCCTCCTCCGCTTCCGGTCTAGAAGGCCTTCGTTGCCGGCTGTGCTGGCCTTCTAGAGGAGACCTGTTTATCTCCAAAACTCCAAGTATATTCTTGAGGTCCTATATATCCAGTGCAATGTGTAACACTACTCTGAAAAAAAGAATGCCCATGTTATTCTCGCTGTATTCCCACACACGATTGGCGCTCTGACTCTTTGTGCAACGCATGATATGAAAAAACACGACATGTGGCAAAAGAGACATAGCAGTCCATGAAGGCTCTATTCCGGCATTCCCCAGTTGCATATGCCAAACCGTGGGGTTCTACATGCTTGCAGAAGGTCAGAAGGTGTCATGTCCTTTCAGTTAGCTGATCTTTGAGGGGGGTGCGGTGGGGCAACACTTCCTTTCAATTTTCAACCGAATCCCTTACCCTTCCATAACCTCGCTAAAACTCCCTACAGTACCTAATAGGGATGGCCTCCAACCTAAGCGCGATGGCCTCCAACCTAATAGCGATGGCCTCCAACCTACTGGCGAACTTTCATACTTTCACTGTGAACTGCAAACAAACACGCACCCTTCCGCCAGCCTGGACTCTGTTGCAGGTGCTGCGTTCGAAGCTGTAGCTGCAGGCCCTGCATCTCCGGGCCGGACTCGGATCAAAGCGTGCACGACATGCTGATGCTGCATGTTTGCTGGGATACTTGCTCTACAGGGGCGCTCACGTGTTCTGTGCTTGAGTGCCAAGCCAGGCATCCTTGCTTTACAACTCATCTATATGTCCTTTATTAACAATGCATTGATACAGCGTTCCACCTTGTCGTGCTCTTTGGTGGATACGGAATACAGAAGTACATTAAGCCGTATCTTAAAAACATCTAAAAACACTCTGTTCATGCTTGCTTGCTCCTCTCTGTGTCTTCTGGCCGCCTCCCGCGGAGGCCGCAGGTGCGCTCGGCGCCGAGCTCGTTGGCACCGTGTCTGTCGTGGCGACCTCGAGAGCTGACGCCGTCCGAGCGCGGGGGTACCAAGAACACTGCTTACAGGCTCTTCTGCTTTGTCACAGTCCATGGATTTTGCCAGAGACTGGTGAGGAAGCCTACAAGCACATCCAGACATCTCGAATTGGCAGTCGCTTTGTTACTGGTAAAGACCTGGTGCTCTACAGCCGTGGGTTTTGCTTGTAGAGGTACTACCCTATGGTTCCCTGTCACCAACATTACATGGTCACCTACAGATACCTACAGGCATTTTGTGAATATATGAGTACCACAACCACTGCTGAGTTGTAACACCAGGCATGGTGGCTACGTCAGCTTCCGATCAAGCAATGCCAAGGCGCGCCATGGATGGTCAAAGGCCCAGACACCTCGAAAACAGAACCCGGGTCTATGAGGATCAGTGAGTCACACTCAAGGCATGATATCTCTGGTGCTATTCAGATTCAGAACAATCCGGTTGGAGGCCAGCGCTATCAGGGTCGAGGCCATCGCTACTAGGTTGGAGGCCTTCGCTATTAGGTTGGAGGCCATCGCTATTAAGTTGGAAACATCTTTGCAACAACTCCTGATGGAGCAAGCTCTACGGTTGTTCAGCATACACTTTGTAATGCACTTCGTCTAAGAAGCTCTCAGGCTCCTGCACTGTAGCCCGTGACGGTGTCATCCGCGTCCAGCATAGCATCGACCTGCGAATCTGAGCACTATCTTTGGGGGACTCTCTTCTGACAACAATAGGGAAGTGGGCTGCATTCTGTTTTATCACTACTACTACTACTACTACTACTACTACTACTACTACTACTACTAGTACTACTACTACTACTACTACTCCTCCTACGACGACTACGACTACGACTACTACTACTACTACTACTCCTGCTGCTGCTGCTACTACTACTCCTGCTACGACTACGACTACGACTACGGCTACGGCTACGGCTACGGCTACTACTACTACTACTACTACTACTACTACTACTGCTACTGCTACTGCTACTGCTACTGCTACTCTTTACAAGAACTTGTTTCCTAACTTTTCTTGGCCACCCCTTGCCACCAAAGAGCGATTTGTCATAGCCCTTGAATATCTGTGGTCTGATGCTGGATGACCATCTAGAGAACATGGTGGTTTGGGGCTGCCATTTTGAAGCATCTGCCTGTGCTCCTATCGTCTCTTGGTTTGTTCCATGTTCCATCTACTTTAGGACAACTTTACAAGTGACATGTAATTTGGTATTTCATCCTCAAAGGCCAGTACTTCGGTAGATAGATGTAAGTGAGCATCCTCGAGTGACTCCAGTAGACCACGATGCTATTTAAAAAAAAAAAAAGTTTCATAAAAATCTATCTACTACGGGATGACAACCTATAATCCACTAGTCCCTTAGCTTTCCAGGATTTGCCTAGAAAATATTCTACTTTGCAACCAAAACAGGAGTCCAACAATGCAGCAGGCAAACCTGGGATTCTTTGGCAAACCGGAAGGTCCAGTTTTGACAGGTGCCACTTCGTATCACTTCATGAATGCGTCTGAATACAAAAAGAAACTAAGACCTACCGGACCTGCCAAACCCCAAAGGCTGGAATCCATTCGTTTGAGGCACCTCTTCGAAACTCCACCATCCCTCGCGTTGATGCTCTTTCATTCAACCGCTTGCGGGAAGGACGGCCTCCTTTCGCGCTTGTTCCAATTCTTCGGCAGTGAAGCGCTGTTCAACCTCAGTGGTAAAGCTTGACCCATGTGAGTGGTCCTGGTTCCTCCTGGTTCCTCCTGGTTCCGGGGGATTGATGCGCTGCAACGTTCCGATCATTCTGTTCAAATCCGCAGGATCTACACTAGCCGGTGAAAGCATGTCAAAGCAACCGATGGCGGAGGCCATTGCTATGGTGGGAAATTCACTACGGATGTCAACGTTCGCATCTGTGCGCCCCCACTCGGCTTGGAGCCGCTTCTGGAGGCACCTCGCCAAAACGGAGCGCGTTGGCGGCGGTTTGCAAGAAGTGCAGCCCGTTCAGCTATAACTTAGGGACCGTTTCAACCCTCATTCATGTGACTGTGCCTGTCATGTATATACTTGGTTCAATCTTGTGGCTAGGAGTGTGAAGTACTTGACCTCCTCCAGGTGGTGTCGAATATACCCAACGGCCACTAGACCTCAGTTGGATACCTAGGCTGGTCGTAGTTCTTTCCACTCGGGCGATTACAACGCAAACGGTTCAGCTTGCGGTGGTCAGCGGCCCCAGCAAAACTGAAGCAAACAGAACAAGAAACCCTGCTTCTTGATTTAGTAGCAGCTCCGCAGGGCCACTTGGTAATGGCAGGAGACTCTTTCATGCACTTTCCAATTATAGCAACTCCAAGCGACACCTGAGTTCTAAGAACTAACCTAATCCAGCCACTCAAGCGCTGCTTGCCGGAGCTCTCGGTTCCAAGACTTGACATTTGTACCTGGTACCTTTCTTCCTTGCCATTCGAACCAAACGCATGTGGAACTCCAATGTGAACCCACTCCTGTGATCACCTGCTTCGTGCATCGCCCCATAACAAAGTAAACAACCTAGTATAACACACTGTTGCAGTCAGCTAAGCAACCCATTCAGGTGTCCAAAACCAGAGTCGCACACCTTCTCCTCCTCATCTTTGTCGTCGTCTTTGTAATCATCTTTGAACTTCCCCGTCTCTAGCCCTTCCAGCTCCTGACTCTAGTTCGAAGAGCACAGGCACAAGTTTGCATGAACAGGTTGGACAACGGCAGATGTGATTCGGCTTGATCCCTTCATCTGCAAACAAGTTTATCAAACAAGCTCGGTTTCATCGGATTGGTTGCAGCAATGTGCACCACTTCTTTACCACCGTGGCACGGGAAAGATCAACCAACCACCTCCCAGCGGACAGATCTGGAAAAAAGCAGTGTCAGCTAGCTCTGCGGAACGCAGAGTCAGACCTTGTACCATGCTCAGTTTGTTTGCTTCGTACGCAGCGAAGCTTTTAATCTCGCTGATAAGGGAGATTACCTCCAAAACCGATAGAGATGTGCATGTTCGGCAGGTTTGTTCTACTTCTGGACTCTCTGTTGCTTGGTCAACAGCGGTAGGGCCTGGTTGTATCAGTTGGCAGAACCATAGGTCATCGCGTTCTCGAGTCAAACAACCTTCACCCGGCAGACACTTTTAACCGCTCACATTCGCTCACCTCGAAGGCTCCAGCAGGATCACACCACAGGTCGCCCAAAGCCGGAGCGAGTCTAGTTGGTCTGTTCTGAGACCAAACCCAAAGAAAAAGCAAGCTGAAAGTCGTGAAAATAAGTGAAGCCTTAATCACTGATTGTGATCAAAGCTGAATCACTGGCTTCTCCTTTTGTCAGACTCGCATATTCCAAACAGTTCCCTGCTCTTGTTCTCCTTGGTCCTCCTTCCTCTCTCCACGCACGTCATGTCGATCTACTCCTGACGGTGGGTTGACTGATTTGTATTGTACATTCTCACAAGGATGCTCGGCAACTCGACAACTTCAGTGTGCCCTGGATCTTTTGTTTGCTGGCTCATCCGGATAGTGGGCATAGCTTCCTTTCTGATTCCAGCTGCGAGCAGCAAAGTGCCCCCGCCTCGCATTTCCGTTGAATTTGCCAAAACCCTTATGGCCATCTCCAGATTTGCCTGGGCCCTTCTGCGGCTTCTGGCTCTCTTGGCCTTGTGCACGCCCACCTTGCCAAGCAGTGTATTGCTCCAGAACCGTGTCGAGGAGATCGTTGGTGCCTTCAGCATCCAGTTGCCTGCAAGTCGCGCAGAAATCTGCGCTGTTCACGGTGGTACTGGGAGCTCTGCACTCTTCGCGGCGCAGGTCAGGTGGACGTGCAGTGCCAGACCTAGCCGCGAAAAAAGGGTCAACAAGAGTCTCATACTAGGAACAATGTTCGCTACTAGGAACAAGTGCATCGCTACTAGTAACAAGTGCCTTACTAGTAGTAACAAGAAGCTATTAGAAACAAGAAGCTCACTAGGGTGGAAGCCATCGCTATGGTGGAGGTCATCGCTATGAAGTTGGAAGTGTGACCTCTGCAGAATGTTGAACCGTAAGTCACCAGGTGTGGGTCAAAGTACAAAATCTGGATCTGCAACCCAAAGTTGGCCAATCCAACTGGTGAAGAATGAGAGACCTCCTGCACCACCTGGAGGTTGAACTCAGTCCATTACGTTAGGTGACGCCAGGTGTTTTTGGTTGGAAAGCAGGAGAACAGTCCCTTCCAAGTTGCAGGCAATCCCTTTTCTTGGCCATGCTTGGGAAACCTCAAGATTGCTTCTCTTTGCAACCGTTCGAGAGAAGGCAATGGATTTCATGTGATCTATATATATAAATATACAGTATGTTGTCCGGGAAAGTTCGGGGTCCACAAAGGGCACCGGTGTTTTTCCATGTGAAAGTTGCGCAGCCATCCACCAGGACCAGTGATGCTGTCTCAACATGAGTTGTTCAAAGACCTTGCGTTGACTCTTCCAACAAAGTTGAGTATGTGTTAAAGCCCAACCTGCAAATGCCCATCAAAGCAGTGTAATGTTCCACACATCTCCCCCCCCGCACTGTTCCCAAGAGGTGATGTTTGCAGTCGACTTACCTTGGTTCCAATCAAGACACGGGTGCCATATATTCTGTAGCTGGGTCTGCTTTGTCTCTCTGAAAAAATGCGCTCATCTCAAGTCTGAGCGGCACCAGAAAAGAAAACAATGTGTTCTGTGGGCCCGTGGAAGGCCTCCCTCGTGTTGGCAATCAGCTAATTTCGACTCTGTCAGAGATCTCCCAGCCTTCTTCTTCTCAGGCCAAAGCAGCTCACCTGCCGCCTCCTCGACACAAAGGGTGACACGGAAAGAGCGCAGGCCGGTGTATCGGTGGCTTTGGCGAAGTTGGCATTGCGGGGTAGGCCTAGGCCGAGGTGAGCCTAAGGGGAAATTAGAAGCTTCAGTAGCTGCTATCTAGGACGCAAAAGGGTTCAGGTTTCCTCCGGGAAATTCCCCCCGCCTAAGGGAGACTCGAGCTTAACTGTGACGAAACAAGGAGTGCCAACCGCGACAGACCCTTTCTCTCGACAGTGTTCAGCCTGTTTCGGCAAAGTTCATCGAGCCGCCGAGATGTATAATTAATAAGAAGCCTGTCGGAGGCCATCGCTACTAGGGTGGGGGCCAACCCTAGTAGTAGCAAGAAGTACTATATAGTAAGAACCAGAGAAACCGTTCCGTCTCGGCGACTGCAAGCGCAGAATCGCCGTCACAGTTTCTCCATTATGTCCCTGTCGAGGTCGCCAACATAGAACCCCGCGACCCACTGGAAGAGGAACAGAGGAATATCCACAAATCCTTGATGAGTTCGTTTCTTACCTTGTGCGGCCTACATCTCCAGAATTAACAAAATTGATTCAAGTAAACATTTGAGGGCACAAGAGCAAACCAACAAACATGGAAGCAGCAACAGAATGCGCAACACATGCATAAAGTATCATATAATCATATAATATTTCATTGTTATATATAGATATACTGGCATCTCAGTCATCTCATATAAGATTTTGGCTGGTCCCCCTGCGGCCCTGAGGCATCCAATTCGACTTCCTTTACGTACATCTTCTCACCACGTAAGGAGCTACCCTCGGATGTCCTTCCCAGCATCCACACATCTCAGCTGGGGGTCATGGCAAAAGCAGGTGGCCTGGCCGAACACATCGCCACTGGCACAAGAAGTCGGCGACGAACATCACATCACACTCCAACATCGATAGAGACCCACCAAAGTAGTTGGAGAGGGGCTAGCTGTTGTTTGAAAAAAGATTTCTCAGTCACTGCTTTTGTTTGAGTTCCCTAAAAGCCTGACAAGCACAGCGTGAAAGTTTGCGGCTTTACTAAACCTCACTGACTGGAAGAAAGAAGGAGTTTGATATCACCGAGCCTGATGGGCATATGTGTAAAACCAGCGGAGGATGACTCCAAGGTTTGATATCCAACTGGAACACGAGGATCACCGACAACGCTCAAGTGATATGCACTTTTTCTCCACGCCGCGCCGAATGGCCTCCATCGGCCAAGCTCAAGGGCCCTTAGGCCAGAATGGCGGCAATGCACGATGTCTTCATGCCATGCCATGACATTTCAACACGCCCTCCATAAGGGGTTTAGCCCACTGCAACATCAGACAGCCAAGCCTCAACTCAAAATTTTCGTGACAAGCCTTCAGTCGGGCCATGGCTGGTTGCCTTTTCGGTCCAACCCATGCGCTCCAAGTACATCGCAAGGTCGACACCCTGTGATCTTGGTTGGAATCTTCTGACCGCCTTCCTTTCCATAGCAGTTCTTGATCCACTTCAAGTACTGACTCACTTCTTGCCCGGCAGCATTACCCTGCATGGCTAGGTCAACCATGTCCGAGTAGGTCCAGCGTTTGGCCTTGAATCGATCCATTTCATTCCTGGTCTTCCCCCATTCACTCACGGACTTGCAGTCCTTGGGCAACGGAACATGGATATTCTTGCGCATGTGGCGTGGGTCCTTCCTGGAGATGACCTCAATGACCTCTAGGCTCCATTCCTCTAGACCTCTGTTCCCAATAGTCGGCACTACGATCAAGGCGAAAGCGGGCTCGCTTTGGTGCGCCCTCTAAGCTGTCATCATCGTCAAATGAGAGATGTCTGGTTCTGGACTTCATTTCGGCATCTTCGTTGAGCTGATGATCTTGGAGCTTGGGGACTTGTCCTACTGGATCTTTGTATTGTCCTTTATTGAGATGATCTCAAGCCCCTTCAATGGCTTGACCATGATACCCAATAGACAGTTCTTTTGCAAGGGATCGGAAATGTTGTTCATCTTCGACAACTGGTCTCAAACCTTGAAACCATTGTATGACACCTTAAGTGGAGTATATGCCTAGGATTATTCTTACGAACGGCGCGATGCTCACTCAGTCCTTCGACGACTTTGGTCTTGTTAGTATTGAGCTCATTCTGATCAACAGAGCACTGTGAACTCTCGACAAACTCGTTCTTCCCAGGATACAAGGGCAGGAGCAAATGCCCGTTGGAGGCTTGTTTCAACGGAACACGATCCATGCCATGCTTCTTGCTAGTGATTGTCAACTTGCCGAGGTCCAGAGTGGCCTGCATACCTTCAAGCACACGACGGGAGAGCAGAAACGGAGCCGCTCCTGAAATCACATAGGTCGTAATCTGACCTCTGAGTGAACCCAACTGCACAGTCGAACGAAGTCCTTATGTAGTACGTTCTGTAGCACCATTGAATCCGGTTGGCTCAAGCCCTGAGCTCAAACCCTCCGGTTGGCTCAAACCCTGAGCCTGCAGAAACTTATGTAGGCCGCTGCTGTTTGAGTCATCACAAGTGATGTTGTACCACCTGTATCCAGAACTGCACACCCCCTAGGAATTGATGTCACCATATAAGAAAAATCAATATCTACACCTGGTTGTATGCTTTCGTCCCAGTGGAAGTCTGTCAAATGGGCTTCTTCCTTTCTCACTTTGGGTTTTCGATCTTTGTGGTCTTTTCCACCAAACTTCTTTTTCTCATGAGGCGGCTTCCCAGAATGAGGCTGCTGCGAAGGAGCTGACTCTCCTGCTTGTTGAGGTGGAACTGCAACAACTGCCACGCAAGGAGCACGCTGCTTTACAGTTCCTTCACTTTCTTTTTGGACTCTTTGTAGGTTCGAAAGCTCTTTTTGAAGGCCTTCTTGGCTTGTTGTTGCATTACATAGACCTCTTGAATCTGCTCATCTTATGCGAATCCGAGCCAAGCGAATCCTGCACAGCAACCTCCAGCGTGTCATGTTCTGAACTGGAGTCAGTCATGGCTGCAAGCGAACTCGAAGAAAATGCCTTCTCCACAGCAAAGGTCTCCCTTCGCTGTCGCGGGGCAAAGGCTCGCCTCTCGTCACCTCGATGACCATCATCAAAGTCAGAGGCTTTCATCAAACGCTCAATGTCCTTCAGACGGCTTGAGACGCCAGTGGAACGGATGAGGTGTGACCTCGACTCACGCGACATGTCAAACTTCTTCATGAACAAGTGCCCCAACACGCTATTTCCTGAAAGATAGGCTTGGGCTTGGAGTGTGACTTCTCAACTGTTCCAAGCATTTGCTGCATCTTCAACTTTGCACGACGGGTGTCGGGTGTCTTCCTTCAAGGAGCCAGCTGATGGCGTCTTCTCCTTGGAGGCCCTCGCGGAAGATGTAGGTGTTCCTGGATGGTGAGGGGTGTGGTAAGCACCACTCTCATGAGGCTCTGCTTCACCATCTTCTTCCTCTTCCCACTCATTGGTTTGATCAGCATCCTGTGTTTCCGAATCTTGTCGATCCGGAGGTTCAGCTTCTGAAGCAGGTTCTATCGAAGATGGTGGAATGAGAGAGGAGCGAGCACTATCTGTCTTTCTCTTCTTCTGACTCTGTTCACGCTCTTGAGCTATCAACGTTTCCAGACGACTCAATGAGGTGCGGAATCTCGATGCAAAGGCTGTAGTCCCTTCCGATGGCTTTCGCTTCAGATGAAACAGGAACTCTTCAATGCTTTCATGGAGCTCAGCTTCTGGCAAGAAGCGATAATGCTTGTCCAAAGACTTCAAAACAGGCAACCAACCGGTTTTGGTCCTCAATTCGGCGACGTTGAGGTGTTCTGTTGCCTTCCATGGCAAGCTTCGCCCGACAGCCGACTCAACAATCGCCTCGCCGGACAGCTGATTGAACAATCGTGGACCGGCCAGGTGGATGGATTTCTCTTCCAGCGATGCGACACTCAACACAGCCTTTCTGCGGAACTCTCTGCAGCCTGATGGTTTGCCGTCATAGGTAAGATCTCGAAAAACTTCTTTGCCCTCAATGCCAGACATTCTGCACAATGTACAATGTCAACTATGATTGAAACAACGTCCAAAGCTGCAAGCACAACAAAGAATGGGCCAACACCACTGTAGGGTGTCCAAGGTCCTCAGCACTGTTGTCAGTGCTCCCGGATGAGGCCGGGACCTTCAGCGGGAACCGGTCGGACTGAGCCTTCCGGCTCCGCTACCATGTCAGCGGAGGATGACTCCAAGGTTTGATATCCAACTGGAACACGAGGATCACCGACAACGCTCAAGTGCTGTGCACTTTTCTCCACGCCGCGCTGAATGGCCTCCATCAGCCAAGCTCAAGGGCCCTTAGGCCAGAATGGCGACAATGCACGAACCCTCACGTCATATGTCTTCATGCCATGTCATGACGGCTTTCCTAAACCTCACTGACTGGAAGAAAGAAGGAGTTTGATATCACCGAGCCTGATGGGCATATGGCACCTCCAGATCATAGGCCAAGAGTCTGGGCCTACAGATCATTCGCTCTGCAAAATGAATTGGAGGCTAGTTGTTGGTCGCTCTTTTCCTATGAATACGGTCCACCGCTCTGGGGGACAAGGGACGGGTTTGGTCCACTCGGAACAGTTCATGGTGGATACCTCTATGTGGCGAATTGCGTCACCGAGGTCTCCCGTGTTTACAGTGGATCCACCAGCAAGGTATCCGCTATGTTGGTCTAGGTCTAAATAGTATGACTGCCGAAAAGTCACAGTCAATGCTATGTTCGTGACAAGCTCTGCGAAGTTTATCCCACAAAGCTGCGAAACAATGTCCTGCTCACTTTTCATACGCTACTTGCCTCATATCCCACTCAACACTTAAGGCCAAACTTGCTGATCTCCTGATTCTCACAAAGAAAGTCCAGGATGGCTTTTAAATAGAAGAACAAGGTCGATCAAGGTGATCTAAGTGGAATAATCGGAATTTCTACAAGGTAACTTTACGGAACTTTCAGTGTGGACTCCAGTGTGGACCACATCCCTGAGCTGGCATTCAGACTTCATCAGATTCACTCCCCCGTCCACTTTGGGCAGGCAGTACCCACACCTGAGCTCTACGGGCTTGAAGATATTTGGTGGGACCTGGACTGAATACACTAGTTACAAAGGCATCGCTAGTAACAAGGGCATGACTACTAGTAGCAAATAGCTACGTTTGTAGCTTCTTGCTACTATAGTAGTAAGTAATGCCCTTGTTCCTAGTAGCGATGCCCTTGTTACTAGTAGAGAACATGTTGGAGAACAGGTCCATACTGCTGCACCACCGTGGCCAGGGCCCGCACTCTTCTGCCTGAGCGGTAGAGATCACTAAGTAAAGAGAGTGGACCAAACAAATCGGGCACCTCAAATTCAAGATGCTTGAGGTGGAGACAAAAAAATGCAATTCAAGATTGCTTTTGGCAGTTCAAGACAAAAAATGTGCCTTCTACTGTTGTAGAAAGGTACTTCTGATCAATTAGGGAATGTTGGGGAACCAAACTCGTGACGTGACGGCTATTGGGGTCCCAAGAGACCTTGTTGCAAGATCCTGACATGTGTCCTTCCTTCCACACCGATCACGGATACTTCTAGAAACCGTTTGCAACACCTTGCACTGGCTTAGAGGTCATCTGCAACATCTGCGGTTGTTTTATCGTCACGTATACTGTCATTTACGGAGTCGTCGAGTTCGACCGACGTCCGGTCCTACGGAGTCGGCATGCGCCGCGAGAAGCCACATGCGGATCAGGACGGCAAGCGCCCACTGTTGATGGGATCGGCCCGGAATACGCGACGCGTATTCCGGCGCGAAACGCCGAGTGCAAAAAAACCGTCATAGCTTGGATCCAATACGTCACTCATCCAATCTCTGACCGACTATGTCCCCATTGTGGGGTCATGACGGACATGGTGGCCCTGGCGTTCCCGCCCCGGCTCGCCTCATGTGCCCATAGCGCGATCGCGGTGCCCAGTCCCCGAATGGCATGGTCCTCAGAGAGAGAGAGAGAGAGCGGCTCACTCAGGGGATGCTTCGACAAGAATGATAACCTAAAAAGACCCCCGGATTCCGGTATATTTTGAGGGGTTGCCAGGTAGGATTCTGGCAAACTCTGGCCAAGAGTACCCCGACCCCAATGTACAGTAAGTGGGATGAGTCTCCTTGTGAAGCAAGCAGAGTTTAGCAGCACGCAGCAGGAAGAATCCTTCTGGTTCTGATGCCTACCTTTGAGCTTTGACTAAACTCCTTGATTGATGTGAGTTGATGGGCACTGATGGTGACTCAAGGTGCTTAAGACATCTTAAGACCTGAGATCTTCTTGCAAATTTGCATTGCAAGAGGGGACTTTTTAAGGACGAGTTTGCAGGGACCTGTGCGGTCCAACCCACCCCACGAGTGCCAGCTCTCTTGGAGCTCTGAGGCGCCCGACTCCCCAGCGGTAAAGCCAAAAGCCGCCCAGTTCGTCAATGAACCTGTCCCAGCGGCCCGCAAGGGCGCAAGATTGATCCTTTATAGAGAAGGGTTATGTGATGGTATGTGGTTGCCCATAAGTCTCACAGATCAGATTGGGCACGCAGAAGTTGGCTTTTCGTAAACCAACGAAAGCTGCGAGATCGCCAGGAGACTGGTAGTAACAAGTGCATCGCTACTAGTAAGAAGTGCCACGCTAGTAGTAACAAGTGCCTTACTACTAGTAACAAGAAGCTTACTAGTAACAAGTGCCACGCTACTAGGAACAGGTGCCTTACTAGTAGTAACAAGAAGTCTATCGGGTCCCAGGGGCCGAGCTGGGAGGTCTTCCGTCTACAAATACATCCTCATGCCGCTGCCATCGTCGACCCGCATCCACTCAGGTCTCTTTCAGAGTCTGCGCAGTGAGGAAAACACTTGAGGGGGTTCCAAATGGCAACGACTACGACCAGCCTGCTGAGTGTGCGATCTGTGGGCCCCTAGATCTACATGTCGCACCATTTCGCCCTATTTTCATCGGTGTCGATGTTGGAGGATGGTTCTCGGATGTGGGTCGTGGCGTCCGTCCGGGCAAAGCCTTTCGACCGTGCTTCCTGCGGGGTCAAAGGATCAAAGACTGATTTCTTTGAAACAAAAATCAGCGGAAAGGCCCAATCACGAGGGGCATCCGCCCATTGAAGACTTCCTGTAAAATGGCATCGGCCATGTCCATGTTCTCTACATGTAAGCTGTCTTGTAAGAACTCAGGACGTATTGGATAGTGACAACGCGTGACACCTAGTGCAACCTCGCTATAATGGCTGTAAAAGGAGATCCAAACGACCTCAGAAGCTGTCTCAGGTCTATTCCCCGAATCAGTCCCAGCCTGTAGAAGCGGAAGTAGTCAGAGCCGGGCTTAAAGAAGGAGACACGCAACAGCTCAAAGTCTGTCATGACCTCCAGTGAGCGTCACGGAATCCAAAAGGAGCACGTTCGACACTCTGGTCCTAAGTATTCTTTGTGTGAGGTGTCCAGAAACCTTTGGCGAATCTGTCTCTTTGTAAGCTCAGGGCGAGCGCGTTGATAGGAAAGAAGGTCACTTTGCTTTGGAGACAGCAATCTGCTGTAGGTTAGACAAGAGCATAGTTCAATGCACATTGGAAGTTTTGGGTCCAACAAAAATATGATGTGCGATGTTCACAGCACATCACGTTCGATCCTCAAAGGGTTGCCACTCACCAATCCTTTTCTAACTCGAACCCGGAGTGAGGATGAAGTACTCCAACCGACGGATCCGCCGGCTTCGGAGAATCTCCTGGAGAGTCCCAGAACCATGCGTACAGGACACTACTAGGAGCAAAGGGCATCGCTACTAGGAGCGATCGGACGCTACTAGGAGCTTTTTCGCGCACTTTGCTCTCCGTCTTTAGGTGGCAGGTGGATGCTTTTGCGTACCCCCTGATCTTCAGAACCTCATTCGCCCCTTCCACCAGACCTTCAGAACTCCAACTCGCCCGCTGAGGCTCCTGGCCACCAGCCCATTGTAGGCCACCAAGTGGTCCTAGGTCTTTGAGCTTCATCCAAAGACCGAAATCATCTTCTTCACAAACAATGGCCTCCAACCTGGAAGCAATGGCCTCCTAGCAATGGCCTCCAACCTAATAGCAATGGCCTCCAACCTACTAGGGTCCTTACCAAACGAAGACCCAAAGATTCGGCGGATGTTCTTCACAAACTGCCCCAACGAAGCGTTTGGCTTAGCCAGCAAATGTTGGTGATCTTTCTCGGAGCCAGTGCTCATTAATCACTGAATATGTTGCAATGTGGTTGTCAGACGAAGGGACAGGGCCCCAACCAAAGAAAGGTGGTTTCAGTCAATCTTCAGGGTACCGGGTACCAAACCGTACGCCGTACGAAAGTGTCCGTACAGAGAGGGAGCATGATCAGGATCTCATAGTCTGGTTGATGCTCTGCAGTATGGTAATGTATGGTATGTTTATGGCCACAATTTAAATCATGGTATCTCTTGTTTGATACGTTGTGATACTCCAGTTGCCATGATCGGTTCTCCTTGGCACTCAATCAACTGTTCCCCTCAAGCACCGTGCACCCGCCTGGTCCACAAGGAACCTGGGCGTGACAGAAATGGGAGACGCAGAACGAGAAGAAGCAGCTTCTTGTTACTCCTAGTAGCGATGCCCCTGTTACTAGTAGCTTCTTGCTCCTAGTAGTAAGGCGAGGAGCTCCTAGTAATTAGCGATGTCATTCAGGAACCAAGGAGGGAATTGGGGAACACCTCCCACACAACGGTGAATCCTTTTCCACTCCGACTGACATATCTTTCTGAACACCGTGCGACCGTGCAACATGGTAACCTTGCATGCGCCAATCCGGTACCCTTCCAACATGGCCATCCAAGCTGAGCCCAACCCCCCCCCAACGCCTGCGCAAGAAGTGCTCTGGTGCCCTACCCTGTCGCAGGTCGAGGCCTGCGGCTGAGCGAAAGCCGGTTGAAGCACTTGGTGCCGATCAAATCCTAGTAGCGTCCGATCGCTCCTAGTAGTGATGCCAGGAGCCCCTAGTAGCTTCTTGCTCCTAGTAGTAAGACCACGAGCCCCTAGTAGCGTCCTTGCCCAAATAACTATATGAACGAGCCCAAGAAAGGGAGCGGTGATCATTGCTTGGCTCTTGCCCCCTCACATAAATTCCATGGCCTTCATAGGCCAAGAATTGCAGCACCGCTGGCCACAACCTGCGAAATGTGGGATTCGCTGATGTCGCCTTCGAGAACCACGCAACACAAGAAAGCGACATCGGCAAAGTCACCCAGCATGGAGGCCATCGCTCTTATAGGTTGGAGATGCGCGCATCACACCCACGCTATGACGCAGCGGGCGTCTCAAACTCGATGGTATTTATTCTTCCTTGACCAAGTGACTAAGATTATTATATAAAAAACTTTCATATGGTAAGGCCAGAATCCTTGATTTAAAAAACTAGACGACGAGTGGCCCGAAAGCATTTTTCATCACGTATGAAGTCAGAGTGTGAGTTCTGTGTTAAGTGTTCAGTGTGAAGTGTTAAGTCGAGTGTGTTGAGGCATTGTGTGGGTCTTTGTGTGTGTATCTATGTCTGTGTGTGTATGGGTCCCAGATCTCATCTTCCAGCTCCCCAGATACTCCGCGTACTACAGTTGTCCTACCAAGTCGCCAGTTCTCATCTTCCAGCTCCCCAGATACTCCGCGTACTCA